GTCGCCGCCCGCCCTGCCGCCCCGACGCCGTCGCCGCCCGCCCTGCTGCACCTCGCCGTCGCCGGCCGTGAGCAACTTTATTTTTTTTTGTTAGATTTTGTTTAGATTTTTTTGTTAGTTCATAGATTTATTTGTTAGATTAGATTTGTAGTAATTTAGATATGTAGTTCATATTGTGTAATTTAGATGGTGTAATTAATTTGTTCATATTATGTTAGTTTTTTTTAGATTTTTTTGTTAGTTCATAGATTTATTTGTTAGATTAGCTGTGGTGTAATTTAGATATGTAGTTCATATTATGTAATTTAGATTGTGTAATTAATTCGTTCATATTATGTTAGATTTTTTTTCTGTTAGTAGATTTTTTTTGTTAGATTTTGTTAGATTTTTTATGATTTTTGTTAGATTTTGTTAGATTTTTTTTAGATTTTTTTGTAGTTTATAGATTTTTTTGTTGGATGTGTAGTAATTTAGATGTGTAGTTCATAGATTTTTTATCATATATATGCAAAGATTGAATATGTCAAATTTTTATGATTTTTTTTGTTCATAGAATCTTTATGATTTTTTTCTGTTATAATTTTGTTTATAGAATTTTAATGATTTTTTTGTTCATAATACGTATTTAGAAAAATGAAAAAAATAAGAAGAGAAAGTGTTTAATATAATTAGTTAGAAAAATACTAGTTTATTTTTAGTAAGTACTACTTTATTTTATTTATAGTAAGTGCTTCATATATAGTTGAACTAGCTAGTTGATTTAATAAACTACTTTATTTTACTATATATAGAAGTAGTTTGTTTTTAGTAAGTACTACTTTATTTATTTATAGTAAGTGTTTGGTAGTTGAACTAGGTAGTTGATTTAATTAATAAAACTACTTTATTTAACTATATATAGAAGTAGTTCCCGCATCGACGTCGGCGATGCCTATCCCGCATCCTCGTCGTCGTCGACTCGGCGGTGGAGGCTTGCTTGATCAGGGCCATGTTCGGGACTGGGCTCCGCCGGGCTGGTATTGGGAGGTGCTACCTTCCGGGGGATGTAGGTTGGTGAGGAGGTAGCCCATTGTTGACCCGATCCTTGTTTGGTGGCGGTCGCGTGGGCCAGTGACGGTGCCGAGGCTTCCGGACACCGCGGAGGTGGTACGTCACCATGTCAGCGAGGAGGACGAGCACGTCCGTCGCTACATGGTTGCATTGGAGGGCAGGTTCGACAATACCTGGCAGGTTCTTCAGGGATCTCACTGGAGCTATGATCCTATGATGGTTCCTTATCTTTGGGTGTCCACCGCCCGCGTCTATACCCGTCAGGCGCTACGGTTCTAGTTATATTAGTGATGCTATATTAGTGATAATATTCGACGATGTACGGACACTAAGAGATGATGTACTTTTGCTTATAATTATTGAATGCATGCTAATTTGAATACTACTTTATTTTATGATTTGGTTTTGCTTATTTTATGATTTGGTTTTGCTTATTGAATGCTCATATTGGATAAGTTCTCCTTCATTCCCGTGTGCTAGACAATTTGATGTAATAATGCACTCGGGAATGAAAGGAGGAGCTACGTACATCACCGATAGTCAAGCTGTGATTAATAATCTAGTTTAATATTTGAATTATGAACATAGGCCGGAAATGTCGTACTTGGACGACGAAAACCGCCCGGGGGAGTGCGACTGGTGCCACGACGACCGAGGTATCTGCGACAGGTTCACTGAGCTGGACGAAGATCGTCACTTCAGCATTAAGCTCGAGGAGACCTTCGATGTTCATACGGTACGCAACCGATGACAATAGTTTTTTTCGTAATTACTCATAACTTCAACTATTTTAATCATGACAATATTTTTCATCTTTTCCAATTCGACTAGCTTATCCCATGC